GTGCGTTCACATTAGCCTCCCACTCCCTTTGGCACTTCTCAATCAGCCTGTCCCAATCATGTGCTAATGAATTGTTGAATTCAGAAGTCGAGCTCGAGTACGGCGCTGTTTCTCTCAGCAAACCAAGCATGTGTACATTCCATGACATCCAGTCTCGACTGTGAAGCTGGCGAAGATTTATCTCTGCTGCCTTCAAAACGGTTTGACTTTCATTCCATACATCTTTTGCTTGTCAACCCCCAGGCTGAACCAAATCGATTGGACTTTCTATTCCATGACATTCCGGGTCCCATTCTGTAATTACAAGTTGTAATGTAATTCATCGAATCAGTCGCAGACCTGTACCACTTCATTATGTTATGTGCACAAATAATACAACTTACCTTTGGTAGATAAAGTAGAAATACGATCAAAGCTCTGGTCCGTTTTGAGGGCATATAGCATCATTTGGCGGATCTCCCTGCTGATGCGGCGGAGCTCTTCAGAACAACTTCGCTGTTCTAAAAAGGCTTGAATACCTTCTATAGTGCCTCGGTCAACAGCCCAAGCCTCCGCTGGATGTGAGAGTGACCCCATGCTCCAGAATTCGTCCTCAATTGACAACTCCTTTGTCTCTCCGAACAAAGGACACAGTAAGTAACTGACAGGCAAGATTGCATTATACTTTGACACTTGTAATTTGAATGAATCATACTTCTTCTTGAATAAGTTATGTTTGTTTCTCATGAACTGCTTGAGACTCTGTTGTACGCGAGTGCCTAACAACATCCAAATGGATTTGAAACATCACTCTGAATTGATTCAAAAATAACAAACTCGTAATCAAAAGGTAGAAGTTATGTACCTTGGCCATGCTTGTCCCATCGTCTTTGAGCCTCTAAAATCCCCACCTTGGCTTCATACAGCCTCTGCTTTGCCATACAAACTCGGATGAGCGCCCAAGCCTTAGCATCTACCAGATCGTACAGTGCATGAGACTTTTGAAGGGAAATACAAAAGGCAAAACTTGTACTTACTGGTGGCTGCTTTGAGAGTGCGAAACTCTTCGCTTCCTAAATCAGCCACCACGGTTGCAATTGCCTCTTCAAATGCTACAATTGAACCTGGCAGAGTGAGTGCCTGCTCTCGTTCCGATTCAGTTGTATTCGGATCACAAGTGTTCCTCAGACTTGCAAGTTTCACACTGTTTCCAATTGTACATATATCAGCTTGGTACAGCCTCGTACTGAAAGTGAGGAGGGAAGATGCAATTCACTGTGATTCTTGCAACTTCTCCTCAAGATCAAGCAAATGAACTAATCGCTCCTCAAATTTGAGACGACTCTCGTCTGCCATGGCGGCCAGTTGCAGAGCTCTCTGTCTGGCCCACTGAGCGGCAAAATAGTCCTGAGTGTAGCATGGATCGGACTGCAACAAATCGTTTAATGTCTTAGTAGCTTTTAAGCTACGTTCCCTAGCATGCGTCAATTTCTCTCGAGCGGAACCAACTAATTATACACACAATACAATGCATCAGCTAAAAGTGTGATGTGGTAAGTACAAAGAGACTGACTTGACACCGCGGGAATCAACTCGTTTGAAACCCGATTGAGCGGAATTCCGGTGTCCGGGTTGAAATTCCTCAAATCACGAATCTCGTTCACAACTCGTTTGCATTATGTTTGCCCATTTCCCTCGAGTACCCTACAATACATACACATACACATCACTTTAAAAACCTTTGATTCCAACGGTTTGACTACATATCTCACCACTTATCATGTTCCCGCTGAACTGCTTATCTTTCTGTTGATTGAGGCTTGACAAATGAGGATGAAGGTGAGGAATGGTGAAAGGGGATGTTGCGGTATGATGTGACTATACATACACGGGGCCAGCCGAGTCAGAGCACAGCCCGAGGGAAATTGGCAAACATAATGTGAACGAGTTGTGAACAAGATTCACGATTCGAGGAAATTCCAAACCCGGACACCAAAATTAAGCTCAATCGGGTTTCAAACGAGTTGATTCCCGCGGTGTGACTCTCACCTGCATTACCGCGCAAAAGACTGTTTTGATGCTTCGATCGGAGATGTAAGGTGATCAATCGATGCTGTTTTGTTGAGTACCTATTTGACATAACCAACGGAGACAAAAAAGACCAGTCACGCTCAAGACCCTCGCCATCCGAGAGTCCCCAGCCCTTGTTGAGGCGAGGGTTATATTCCAATTGACACGACCACCTGTGCACATATGAGTGGAATACACTCGTGCCAAATTTCAGCTGCTCGTTTCGGAACAGTGCATTCTAAGTTGAGACCTTCTGTCAGTAACAAGTAAGAAGATACAAAAGATACTGGCTGATTCAAAAATACCTTCTTGAGACTCTTCTCCAAAGTACAGCCAATATCATACAATATACCAAGCCGCTTTGGGCGGTCTACTTCGGATTGTCCCGCTACAAATCCTAAGATTTCATCGAGGAGGGCAAGAACATAATACTGCCTGTAATTGTCAAACACGAGTATTTATTAATGAACATTCATCAATGATAAAAACAAGTGTGTACTTGCTTTTCACCGCTTTGTACAACGTTCACAAACCGCAGGATATGATCGTGGCGGCAACCCATACCGATCAGGCCGGTTTCGTCGCAGGCTTTCCAAGTGGTACCTGCTCGGTGATCTGCAGCAGCTGTGTGCTGTGCACTGCACGGATCCTGTTTCAAAATGTACTCTGAAGTTAGAATGATATAGTCAAAACTTATTAACCTAGATACGACTTACTGAAGCAACTGATTTCTTATTGGTTTCGGTTGGTGCCCACTTCTCTACTTTGGCAGGTTTCATGAATAAAGGTGGATATTCCGGTTTGCGTTTGTCGGACTCACGACTTGCTGCTTTGTGTCTTTGATGTTGAAAGTTACCATCGAAGCATATTATGTAGTCAGGTTCATCCTGCTCATTATTATCCTGGAGAGGACCAAAGCATCGGGGGCAGTTGGAAGCCAGCTTGTCCAAATGCGAGAGGTCCAGTGCCAAGTCACAAAGCTTGTCCTCCATTAGCAACATGTGTTGATAAACATCAACAGCGGCAGATAGGGTTTTTCGCCAGAGCCGGGGCTACAACTCATATGTAGTATATACATATGGTCAGGTTTGAGTTTCAAGTTTGTAGGAATAAGGCCAAGGAAATGACTGACCTGAGTTGTTCCGGCCACAAGAATAAGAGGGCTACTGGCATCTAGAAAGGTGTCTAGTCCCAATGCAAACCCTTGCATGCGAATGCTGCACTGTTCCCACAGTGTGTGGTGGAATCGAAGAAGCCGAATGGAAAACGCGGTTTAAGGATGAACCGGTGATCCCCCAACGTATCCCATTCGGATCAGCCTCACTTGGTCACTGGTGCATTGGCAAAACTTGATCTCTTTCTTGTCACGAGCTATGTACAGTATCCGTACATTCAAATTAATGCTGGCTGATATTTAATTTGACAATAAATCATGAGACTCACAGAGAATATCCACTAGGTCGACTGATCGTGTTGTAAGATCTCCAACACCACAAGCACAAGTGTCATTAAAATCTTCATTCCAATTTTGAAGATCACCCCATTGTGCGGTCCTTGACGACTGGGTCATGAAAGCCACAAACATTGGGCCAAGTACCTTCTTCCACCGAAGGTGCTCAAGCAGCTGCTTGGATTGGTAATAAGTTCCCCTGATGTACTCTCCAAAGGACACGTGAAATCCTCCAACCAATGGAGGAGTAGGTTCTCGAGGTTCGCTATCTCCCAACGGAGACAACGGTGTTTCACAATGGTATATATACAACATGGCATCTGCCTCATTGTTCTCGGATTCGGAAGTTTGATCGTGATCAGGGCCACCTGTGTTTGGATCGACTGGATTGTTCTGGTTTGCATGCCGGTTCGCGGTAAGAGCATTATGAAGATTTTCCGCGTTCTGAAGTGCTGTTCGAGATTCCACAGCCGCAAGATCATTAGCAACTCTCTGAGAAGGGCCAACATCTGCTCCTCGTGCCCGTGGCCGCTTGGTTTGAGGACCAAGTGGGCACTTGATGACTCGACCTTTTCCCATTTTAGATACTTATTCTTCAAGCCGATAAAATAAGATAAACAATGAAGACCGAGGTGAGTTGTTGAACTGAATCAAAAAAATTAAGATGGGATAAAGAATATCTCGAAAGGAAGTTTGTTCAATGATAGATTAGAAGGAAGTTGAGAGAGACAGAAAACAAAGGATCACATAACTAGCCATGCTTTTGTGAATAGAGGAACCCATTAAGAAATGATGTAATCATTCTTACATCATTCATTGAGATAATCAACTCTCCTTCAGGCACAAATGCTTGTTTAGTGCAATTTTGAAAATTAATCAACCATCCATCTAGCCCTGCATCTGCAGGTAAGTGACTATGATAATGAATATTAAACTTCTTCATTTGGATTTTGATTCCCTTTTCAATAGTTGAGCAAAATTCAAGTTCGAACCTGGAAAATATTGATTGTCATTTGGGCTTTCAGATATTCCAAGGTCACTGGAAATGCAACGGTTTTGAAGAGCACTCACTTTCACCAGGAAGAGTTTGAGAAATGAATACAGGATGATTTTATGGCAAAATGGTGTCAGAGTCATGCAACACAGTGAGTGCTGAAATCCCAATTTTGTTCTTCAAATCAACCTGTTGCAAGTTTTGGTTATAAAACCTCCCCAATCACCATCAAGATGGTGGAAAAAAGGTCAAAACTCCGCCTTAAAATACAAAATCAAATTTCAAGGCCAGTCTATTAAGACACTTTTTCAATCACATCACATCTTCCCTCTTGAAAATCCCAATTTTGTTCTTCAAATCACCCTGTTTTCTCCCGCTCACTCCTCAAAATTGAAAACAGTGGGGTTTATTTCTTGAACACTGCCGGAGTTTCAAATGTACATGCTCATCAAATCATACATAAAAGTGGGACTGCTGTTGTATTATATGTGAGCTACTTTATGGGATATGTTTGTTGAATGTGGCTCAGATTTTGATGTGAGTACTTTTGCACTATTTCAATTCCAATATGAAGGTTTAAGAACGTGTAAAAAAAGAAACTTTGACTCTTGAGATTCCTCTTGATATAGCCACATTGATCACTTAACTTTTCAAAATAAAATCAAATAGGTAGGCCCTCACGATGTAAGTGTTGATATTATGGTATGTTGGGGGTGCCGGGCTTCCAAATGCTTCGTGACCCGGGGACTGACCGCACAGACCGCACTATATGTACAGTCCAGGTGAGTCACGAGATGGATCTTGATTCTTCCTTCATCTAAACATTCATCTTCATTCAATCCCATCACCCTTCCCCTACGTCCATTATCTTTCTTCCCAGCATGGCTAGTACTCGATCCGGTCGAACTCGAGGTCCCCCTTCTGGTACTGGAACAGCTTCCATGTACTCAACCAGAGCTAAACGTTCAGGCCGAGTCCTTGCATCACCTACCAGGAAGTCCACCTTGACCAAAGCGCGCTCAACCAAAACTACCATGACTAAATCAAATTATTCTACAAACCAAGCAAATGAACTATCAATCAACGAGTTCTTACCTTCAACCTCCAACAACCAGCCAACTCCTAACCCCCCCGTTTTACGGTCTCCAACGTTGGCTGAGCCTTCTGCTGCTCTGCCACAGTCTCAAACTTCATTTGATATCTCTCAAATCAATGCAACTATATCTCAAACCAATGCCACTTTGTCACCACCCATTCACAATGCTTGCAGCATACCTTCAGACTCCAACAACCAGCTAACTACTAACCCTTCCATTTTACGGTCTCCAAACTCGGCTGAGGCTTCTGTAGCCCGCTCACAGCCACAAACTTCAACTGATATCTCTCAAATCAATACAACTATATCTCAAACCAAAGCAACTTTGTCACGACCCATTCGCAAGGTTTGGATCACCAACCGGCCTAGAAACAATGGACCTGCAGAATCCAGCGACGAAGAGCTTGGCGACTTATTCAACCCGGGTGCTATGTCTGATTCAGATCTGTCTCTAGAAGAAGACTCGAGACCTTCTAAACGCCAACTTTCCCAAAGGAACACTGATCAAGCACCACCGGCCTCTAAACGTTCTCGCCGAGTGCCTCAAAACAAATCTCAAGCTCAACTTCAAGGTGTTGATTCTCAAGATATCGATACTCAAGATATCAGTTCATCTATCAACAGGAATGCACCTCTTCCTCAAAGCTCATCAAGCTCACGTGCTACCGACCTTCCAACACTATTGAATTATCAGGCGGTGTGTAATGAGTGGTCGATGACCAGGATTTCAGCAGTCAAGCGGACTAGCTCAGCTGTGCCACAAAATATCCAAGAAGAGGCTAAAGCGCTCAAACAGCTGTATCATCATCACAAAGAGATGCTCGCGATGATGGGAAATGTCACCTTGTTTACATTGGACAAAGCGATGTATGTTCTTTCATTCATAGTCATACTATTTCACAACATTCTTAAGATTGATCCAATCTTAATCCGCTTCAGAGGCGATCTAGGTTCATCCCGAGGTCAAGGTCAGGATGGCTATCGCCTTTGGATGAGCTATTCAAAGATGGCCAATAAGGAATATAGTGAGTCGACTCCTTCCCCAGAAAGCTACATGAACATACTTACTTAAAATGTCTATGGTGGGTATGTTTATTATGTTTATTATTACTACAGTGCCTCGAAACAGCGAACCAGAAAGTCTTGGCAAGCGCAACCAACAAATGGGTAGGGCATGGACTGCTCGACCTGACGCCGAGCGTCTCGTTTTTCATCCTTCGGTATTTTATATGTTATCTGGCTTACCCTCAAAAAAGGAACAAAAGCAACTCAATCTATCACCCGAAGAACGCATCGAGCTGCAAGAGGTCTATGACGAAACGGTGTGTGGTCAAAAGGTTGCCAAAGCTTATGCCAAGGCATTGTCAGGTATTCCTGGCGGTCAATCATTGGCAGACCACAATCGCCTTTCAAAAAAGCGTGTGCAGCAAATACATTCTCAGGTATGTTGTTTTATCATATGTTCATTATTTGAATCACTATATTTCTCCATCGTATTTCTCTTGTAAACAACTGATTTTTCATTTGGCACTGATAGATTGAAAGCGAATCCACACACATGGACTTTGCATACTATTTTCTTGCATCTGGAACCCATCCTCAAACTGAGGAAGGCAAAGGTTCCCATGGATGGTGTATTGAATACACCTCACACCCGGAGATGGCTGAATATGTTTGTGCCAAAAGCAATTTTCCGGTTATCTTTGCAGCACGTGCTCAGGGCAAAGCAGTGGAAGAAGCTGTCGCCGATGCTATAGGATCATCAAAGTCGTCGACTGAAAAAGAAAAGCGCCAACAGCCAGCAGATGTCATAAAAACCGACCTCACCAAAGCCCTTTGGGCAGATCTAAGTAAGTCATTTATCCCTTGTCATTAATATAGTTGTTTCGGTTTCATTACTGAGGTCGCTCTCTAGAGGAAGCACTTGGATATTCTCCAGGAAAAGGTTTCCCGCGCAAACCGAACCCGGGAGAATGTCTTAAAGCTAGAGGTTTTCCGGTCAATATCGTCCAACTCGATGGAAGCAGCCTGAAGCCTGAAGATCTTGCCTTGGGTGTTGACAAGATGCCAAGCAGCAAGAGATCACTGTGGCTGAACGACGTGAAAGCAGGTTTATTCAAACTAGTAAATGACTCAGCCGTGGCAAACAGCAGCAACAATATTAATGATTTGAATGATGGTGGCTCAAATCCGCAAGATATTGAAGACGACAAAGAGCCATGGGGAGTTATCTCTGGCTTAGACGACAATTGTGATCATAGAGTTGATGATATGTATATCGGTATGGGTGTGGATGAAGACAATACCAACCTCGGTATGGGTCTGGAGGACGACGACCTACCTGATGATGATGATTTTTAGTGATACCATACAGATATTTAGCTTTGATAGATAAGTAAATGGATCATTTATTGGGTTTATTGTTTTTTATACAAAATTGTGATCTTGTGTTCCAGATTTTTTTTTATCACTCACTTACTTTTTCATCCATTTATCATTTTTATGGTGATACCATACATTCATTTACCTTACATGGATAAAATAAACACTCGAGGTTATCTTTTTTTGGTGCTTTTTTCTTACAAAATATCCTGCGTTTCATATTCCTTTTTTGGTATGACTTACTTTTTCATTGTCACACCATTTGTTATCTCAAATTGTCAACATCAACAATTACAACACAATTGAAATCTTGACTTCATCTCGTCACTTGACACTTGAAACTTCAAGAACGGTGTTGGTAGCAATTGATTCAAAGTATAATTTGATTTTATTATGTGTACAGATGATATTCTTCCAGTGGTAAGCTAAGTAAAAAAGGTGTCGGACCTTCGGTTGTACTAATGTCTCTGAGATCAAAAATGAGTTATACAAAATTTTCACACGACTCGCTTATATACAGTACATTTTGAATTCAACTATCCATATCAAGCTCACTATTGAGTTTAATATTAGTTGTGCTGTTGCAACAGGTTGCAACTGCTTGTATGTACCGTGATACTTGGCAAAGAATCAGACCGTATGCAAAAGGCTGATAGACTGATGTATCACATCCGTGGTTCATCTCATGGGTCTCTCTGTCTCTCTTTCAATAGTTTGTCCTATTCAAGGTGGAAAGGTCTTGAGGAGACAGGTTAATACGTGTAATGTAAATAGCAATTTTAAATAGCGACTTTGTCTGTTTCTATTTGCTCATGAAAGATAGGAAGAGATAACATATTGAGGCATTTATCGGGGATACATACAAAAAACGAGTTGAGATGACCTACAATAGCGTTCATTCAAATGTTGGTAGGGTGGTGCAGATAGAGATGGAGGTGTGGTGAGGTTGATCCGTTTGATCGGATTGATCTGGCTTGGTATCCATTGGTTGGTGTGGCTTGCTCTATTGATAGACCGACACGTCCTGATAGGGAGTTAGGTCTATCAATAGGTGGGTGGGAGCTGGGATGGACGGCGTATGATGTGTCATGTGTCTGACAGAGCGAGTGTTTGTAGGGGAGACCACTGGGTTCGGAGGCCAGACAGGTCTGGCTAGCCTCATAGACACGTCTGAGGCCAGGACACGTCTGGATGTCGGACTCTGCGTGGATGGATATAGACATCAGACGCGAAATGACACGACGCACGCGTGTGTGCGTCTGGCAGTGAGATACGGATAGAGTCCGACCAATACGTCTCATTTTCGTCCGGATGATATCCCAGGAGTCTAGTAGCCAGAGGTGGTATTTCTATAAGTCACTTTACTAAACATTGATTTTCGTAATACTGACACTGATTCTTATTTATCATGTCTCACATTCTCTGCCAGACTACAGATTCCGGTTCCAACAACAAGACAATGGCGACCGAAATGCATCGCCAGTTTTCATTGCAACCATCAAACCCCAATGGCATCCAGTATAAATGGGACCCCACTAGTATGCATATTTTTTGTTTCTGCCATAAGTTGGCTTTAATTGTCAATTCAGGCCTAGCCGAGCTAGGCGTGAAAGCTCCACCTCCTGCCAAGGCCAAATTGGCGGCCTGTGGTCACTTTCCAACCATAGGCACTATCAAAGAAGAAGACGAGGACCTCAGTCCCGAAGAGGATGAGAGTCCTGAACACGACGTCAATGATTTGGAGGAGTCCACTTCAGCTGAAGCAGTCCCTGCCGCAATCGACGACGAGAATGAATGGGATGTTGCCGATGCTGAGGACGAAGTCATACCAGCAGTTGTCTTGGAGGCAGAGGTAGCGCCGACACATCGGAGAGAAGCTAACCACGTAAACTTTATCTTACAAAAGGTATGGTTGTTATGGTTTCTTTCTACAAAGTCGTTCCCAACTGATCAATTTTGCCTGTCTTTGGATCTTTAGCTTGACTTTATCATTTGTCGCATCACTCGCTCTTCCTCTTGGCGTAAGGAATTCGAGCGTGTAAGTGCAAAGCATGAGTTCACAGGCTCACTTATTTCTGGGTACGGTATTTGCTGGAATGTCAAATACAAGAGCCGACACAAGGCTTGGCTTGCAAGAGCGGCAAGTATTCATTTATGATCCTTTCTTATATCTTTCATGCTAACACATTATTTACACAGGTAATCGACCAGATGTGTAAAGAAGATATTGATCGAGTCCTGGCTCTTGGCCGAAACCCGCGTAAGGATGGCAAGCCTTATGGGTATTTCCACCAGCTTGAAATCATGACAGCTGAGTGGGCTCAAGTGCGGAGGATCAACGTGGAACTTGAGGTATGTGATTCATCTTGTCAATTATCTCTAAGTAAAATAACCATTGCTTGTTTATCTAGATGTTTCTTCAAACTACCCTCAAGATGGAGGGCCACGGGCCTACCGGTTGTATGGTCATTCCGGAGTATGTCGAGCTTTGACATAAGCTACAGCAGAAGGTTAAAGGGTTAAGTACTTCAGATGCGGTATACCCAATGTTGGCGAAGATGCTGGAGAAGACACAAGCATACCTTGATGAAGCACTTCAATGCGAAACCCTTGTCGTAGCCACAATCCTCCATCCCTTCTTTCGATTGAAATTTTTTACTAAGTGGTTTGGAGGAACAATTGCTATGAAATCAGAATCCACTTTACGCCGACTATTCTCTGAGTACAAACTCACTTCGCCTTGTCAACGCCCTGGCCCTTCAAAAGAAGATTCTCACGCCTCCTCCGGCTCTACTCAGTCTGCTAATCAACCAAAAATCTTTCATGACGACTCTGACGACGAAGAGAATGAACCAGCCGATACAATCGATAACTCATTGGAGAATTATATACGGTTGTCTGATAAGATGCGTCAGAAAGATTATGATCTGACTGACCCTAAGGTAGGCCTTTTATGGTGGTCTGTAAGTAATTTGCTACATTCTTATTGTGTCATTAATTAATACTACTGTATGCTAAGTGGCTTTTTTTTGTTTTAGCATCACAAAAAGGATTACCGAGTGTTAGCCATCATGGCCGCAATTACCTGGCAACGACTGGATCGTCATGTGCTGCAGAACGAATATTTTCGTGTGCTGCCAACATCTGTGCCAGTGATTGTGGCAGTCTTCTTGCACGCACAATTGAGGCCCTTGTTTTGAGCCGGTTGTAGTTAAGGGAAGGTATATTGTTAGGGGAGGATTTTGCAGATCTCGCTGCTGTTTTGAAAGCCTTTAATGTCACCCTTGATTGATTGCAAGTTTTTAGATAGTTAACTAGTTACATGTTTAGATTAGGGATGTGGAAGATCTATTGTTTGGATTTGTGGTTCGGCTTTTGAAATTAATCGTTTCTTTTTCTTGATTTTGTTTGGCGCTGTTGCGGTTTTGTTGCGCCTGTTGCGCTGCGCTGCGGGTGAGCCGCCGCGCAACCAGGCCTACCGATTTCATGTTACGGTACTGAGAGCAACACAGCAGGGTTTGCGGCCCAACCGTTGCGTGTTGCGGAGCAACGCAGCGCAAAACGCTCATGTTGCGCCGCGTTGCATTGCTGGCCCAGGGTTGATTACGTCATTGAATTTAGCTTTCATTTGAATCAAATAGGGGATGAAGTTTTTCAATGAATCATAAGTAGGCCTGATGTCTTTCTTGTTGATCAATTGATTTGGCGGAGGGTTTCCAATAATTAGATTTGAACAGACACACATCTTCTTTGAATCCTTCTTTGGGACCATCAGCAGCGGAATCACCTTCATGCCGTCCAAAAGAAATGAAAACTCTTCAGAAAAGCGACCTTTGTCTACTTTGACTTGACATTGTTCTTCTAAAGGTGTTGATTAGCTTTGCATGAGATGTGGTTGGGGATCTCAACAATCTTTGAATTGGGTAAAGAAGAACAAGGCCAAAAACTGATCCGTAAACCTTTCAAAACTGAATGTACAAAAGGTTTGTTTGGATGTTGAACCAGTAACGTTTCCAACTTGTCCACTTTGATAGGTGTAATGATTTTCAACAAATGAGAATATTGCTTGATGGTGTAAGCTCTGTCCTCGTCCTCTGAAAGCAGAGGCGCATCTGGAAAGGGTTTTGCATGAATACTTGAATCAATAGCTGGCAAAGAGCTCACCGTAGTAAAACCATCCCAGATGTAACCACGTAAGAACTTTTGAGTAATCTCTGTTCCCGTAAAATCAAGGTTGTCAATTTTCACATCGCTTCCCAATGCCCTGCAACCATTACTCAGATGTCAGCACTTCATTGTGGACTCATCAGAAACTCAATCCTGAAAAAAATTCAACACCTGAAAGAAGAGTGAGGATTATAGAAACTACCTACCCATCCAAAGATACAATTTTGTTAGTATCCTCACACGTGGTCTTTCCCTTGATGCTCTTTTCTAGCATTGCATCCTTTGAAATTCTGTGATGTAAACAGAAATCAGTATCACTTCCAACTATACAAAACTTCTGAGCTAAAAACAAATAATGAAATAAGATGAATACAAAACACCAACACATCGATGCATGCGGGGACAATTACTGCCCAGCTTGCAGTATCCCAGGTTGTGCGCAAAACATAAAGTTTCAGAATCCTTGAAGCCTCTTGTGTCCTCAATAGAGTGAATGCCTATGTGTTTATACAAGTGATTGTAATACAAAGGTAAATCCTTCTTATCTGCTGAATGAGATTGTTGCTGAGGAAATTGCTTTTGACGAGAAGGCAATTGAGCTGATTGCCAACCACTAGTCAAGGCCACCGGAAGATGGACTTGAGGGTGGTTTTTGAAAGCCTTCGAGATGAATCTTGTCTTGATGTTTGAAAGGGATTCGTGGTTCCAGTCAGCAAAAGAGATGCTTGGTTCAATGGCAAATTATTCTTGAAGCACTGCGTCAAAATCTGCCACACAAGTCCAATCTGCTTTTGAACTGCCCGACATAAATTGGCTTTTGATGAAGGTAGCATACTTGATGAAATCTTGATAGCAGCTGGGAAATGCTTCTTGATACGTTTGTTGTAGAATATTGAAATAAAAGAACCATTCTTGTAGGTCATTGATTTTTGAGAACTGCTGCTTGTTCTGTAATGAAATCCCTTTATCAATGTTACCGGCCACCGTGAGCAAGGCAGCATGGCCTTTTTTAGATGCCACAAACTCTCCCTTAATCCGTTGAAGATTGATGTATTTGCCCAGAAGAAGCTCCTTAGTGAGATTTTTAGAGAAATTCTTTGGTTTGACACAATCATTGAATCCTGCAACAGCTTTGGTGATGTTTGGACCGTATCCATGTGTGGTGTGAGAACACCTTTTAGCACTTGGAGTATAAGAATCTTTGTCTCTAGGTCTGGAAGATTTTCTTTTGATCCAGTCTGTCAGCCCTAGGTACATATGTATGTACCCAAAGACTAACTTGTAACATATATAACCACCTTCACACAATTAATTACATGTACATAAAGCTTACAAAACATATGTAACTTGTAATAAATCATATACACTTCTTAATTACATATACATATACATTCAAAATGATATGTAATATGTAATCATATATCAATTACACCTCATAGCTCAGTGTCAAGAGTTAAAAAAGCTTATATTACATATTACACATAACATGTATATGTAATCAAGTATTATTAGTAATAATCCCAAATAATAATAATAATCAAACCCTAAACCAAAGTAGGGATGTAAACAAATCTCACCACAGTTAGGTTTGGAGAGGAGAGTATATAAACCCCTCCTCTCTCAGCCTTGAGAGATTTCCCCCCAAGCTTTATTACACACTACTTTTAAGAACAACTTAAAGTTCTACTGAAGTAACATCAAGAGTCTTATAAATATAAGACTAGTGATATCTTCATTACTTTAATCTGTTCCCTGATTAAAAGTCAGTAATACTCTTCACCCTTCTCCAAGGTTGGTGACCATAAGAACAACCCAGGGTTGGTGACCATAGAACAACTAGTCTAGTGAACTTCAACCCACTCTTTAATCTGTCACTTGAAGATTAAAGGAAGGATTAGGATCCACCCTTCACCATTTATAATCTTATTTCAGTATCTTCCATTCCTCATCCCTTTCCTTTGTTTATAATTCTTTGTAACTACTTTTATATTTGAAATATAATCATAATTACTTGAATTATAAGACCCACCTTGCCCAATTAGTGAGCCTTGAGTACTCAAAAGAGTAACCAACCCTCACACAGTCCCATTCTTTCAACATCTTTGATTGTTTCTTGTCTGAGTCAGAAGATTTGTCTTCATCCGCATCACTTTGAATTGCTTTGTCTTTCCCTTTCTTGGCCCGTTTCTTCTAAACAAGAGGAGAAGCGGACTTAGATTGTGATCTCTTGATTTGATTTTGAGTGTCCAAAATGTTTCTAGCAAGTTGAGCCTCATTAATCTCTTGTTGCGTAAGGATATGTACTGGGTTTTCTTTGTTTGAATTAGGTTTATGACTATGTTGTCTACTATCAATGGCAATATCATCTGGATACTTTGGATTGAATGATATGTCAAAGTTGAACACAGGATTGTTGTTTGAAGACACAGGTTTAGTAGGTACTTCTCCTTCATTTTGAAAAACTGGGCGATTGGATTCTTCATCCATTTTGACCAAGTTTGATGCAAACGTGGACCATTGCCGGTACCAGTTTGGGACATTGTATGCAAGAATTTTTGAAAAGGAAGAACAAACATCCTGCATGGTGAAGTTGTTAGAGCCTCCCTCAGTGATGTACTTGTTTGCGGGCTTGGCCAGCTTTGCGGTAACCATCACTGCAGCTTCAAAATCAAATTCATCATCACTCATTTACATGAATTTGGGATGGTTTTTAGTGACAAAAACAAAATCTTCTTTGCTACTGAACGGGTTTTTAGGATTAGATATAGAAGCACTAAGGTTTAGGGATATGGTGTTATAAGATTTCTAATGGTTTTGTAAGATCTGAGACTTTTTCTGATGATGAATTCAGAATCAAAGAGAAAAGAACTGTATTGATATTTTAGTTCTTCAACTCTTCCTGATTAGATCACACAAAAAATACGTGTAAGAAAGAAAACTGATAACTTGTGAACAATAAATCAACAAAAGTAAACACAATGGGAAAGAAATCAGAATTGGTAAAGAGCTATGACATCATCAAAACAAAGTGGTAAAATAGATGATGGAAAGTCCAACCCGTCAGTGACATCTCATATGTAAAAAGTTCCAAATTTCTCTCATTCCATTCCGTTAATAACAACTTACCAACATTAAATCATTCCAGAGCAGAGGTTTTCAAAGTAATCTTTGATCCACTCACTTGGTGTGCTTCAAAAAATAAAATCAACATTGTAGTCCGTGTCATACTGTTAAAAGACACAAGACACTGGTCCGTGTATTTTGTATATACCAATTCTCAATAAAAATAACAAGTGATGAGAAGAATGATCACACAAACCCAAACCTTAGGCTTCACTCAACCTGAAAGCAAACCATATCCCCCCAAAAAACCCACTTTATTCCAATTCCCATATAACACATATCCATAACAATCTCAGAAACCAAACACTGAAAAACCCAGAAAAAACTTTTGAACCCTCAAACCTTCCTAACCTTTCTACAATATATAAAGAAAATCTCTTAACAATAAAATTCAACAAAACCCCATCAAAACCAAACCCAAGAAACCAATATAAATCTTCTTTTTTCAAATCAAATGGAACCAAATCTTCTTTCAAATCAAATCAATTCAAATCACTTCTTCTTTTTCTTTTCATTTCTTTTCTTCAAATCAATCAAACCCCAAATAACTACAATTTTTTAAAATTTCAAACCCAATCCAAAACAAAACCCACACACTTTTGATCCCTTCCCTCAAACAAAAAAAACAAACAACTAATTTATATATAAATGCTAAGAATGAGTTTTGTAAAAAAAACAAAAAAAATATATGAAACCAAGATGCAAAACATAATTCTTTCCTTCAAAAATCCAAAAATAAAAACCAATATGCGTGTAGTTGTGATAAAACCTTAACAAAAAAAATTCAAATCAACAATCAAGTAAATTTCAAAAGACCAATCAAAAAATTTCAATCTTTACCATAGTGACATACCTTGTCAAACCATATACAAAAATTTACAACCCTTTCCCTCCCTTGTTTTCCCTTTCCTCCCTCCTCCCCGGCGCAAAAAAGTAATAAGAATCATTTAAACATCTTATTTTTCTTTCATTCTTTTTTCTTTCTCAACAATCAATATTTAAAAAATCATCATGTACCATTTATATATGAAAAAAACCAAAAGTCAAAAAAAACGTAAGACGTTCAATAGGCTACCTTGAAGAAATAAAATGGTCCAGCCTATTTATTCAGAAAAAAATCATCAGTCTTCAAAACCCATCGATTTTTATTCTCAATGACTTACCGGTCCTTCTACATCACCTCTATTCACATCTGTCCAAACTCCTACCACACCCCATTTGGCACGAACGCCACCTACCTGAATCCCTTCAGACGACCAACGATCTCCACCTTCAAACGTACTCACTACGCTCCATCTGACTTCTCCATCCGACGTTTCTGACACACATCCTCTTACTAATGAAGTAGCATGTACAAGGGTTGTGGAGCTATTGGAACTAAGATTCGAGAAAGTTGATCAATAACTATTCAAGTTTGAAAGCTTACTAGACAGTCAAAAGAAACACGTACACTGAAGTCCCACGGAAATAGATCGGTGGACGTCGACTGGTGTATAGACAAGGTGGGGTGGGATGAGTTGGATCTGAATCTGGTTTACAACCGATTGAGACCACTTTAAGATCAAGTGTCATAAGTCTGATCGCTTCATTATGATCATCTAGCGTTGGTCTGGGATTAGCTCCGTAAACTTTACAAATTCCAATCGAAACAAAAACACACACTCAGTCTTGTTGATTCAGACACTAGGAATGGATGAACGTCTACTTACAGTTATACGCATGTAAATCACGATAGTCTAGAAAACACACCACTCGTAACCATTTGCCTGACACACCAGCCCAATCATACCGATTCAGATCGATTTGATTTGGATCAAGACTAGTGGTAGGTGGCCAAGGAGGAGCAGGATAAAAATAAGCCGGATTCATGATTTGAGTATGAGGTCTTGCGGTTGAAAGACCCGATAAGATAGGCCAATCGATATCAGCCCAATTCGGACCGATGTTCAACTGAGCCATCTGATCTTGAGGATCTTGTGATGAATGAATCACAATATCAGTGATCAAAACACCTGTGGCCGGTGTATGAGACGTAGTAGGTTGAGCCTGACTTGCATAAGTTAAGTTTAAGCCGACCACCACACTCAAGGCTTCTAGATGTGCCCAATTCACTCGACCTGATCTATCTGGCATAAACGGACCATAAAAGTTTTCTGGATGATTGTTGGAAAGTGCATAACAAGCTTCACGGGCCACACCACGAGATCGAGGTCTGGATCGATCTAGATCGGTTAAACCAAACTTCGTATGTAACTCTGCGGCTGCAGACACTAGTGAATCGTTTAAACATGGTCGATGATCAAATAAAATCTGGGTATGAAAGTTTTGCCCAGAGAAATGTAAGATTCGAAATTGAGCTGAAGTGTTTTGATGAAAGAGTTGATGTAAGAATTCAATGTTTCTGGATGTTGAAGTGATGGATGATGAAGCCGAATTAAGTAAATCAAATATATCGCGATACACTTCCATCATCTTTTCTCTTCCTGGATAATTCTTTGACTAAATAGAAACCACCGAAAAAAACCCAAAAAGAGAAAAACCATCAATCAAATGAACTGAAGATCGGTTTTGAAAACCTTTACAAAATCCTTACCAGTCTTGTACAAAGGATCTCATCCTGAGTAGGAGCAAGAGTTTGTCTCAATTTGATCCTACGTTGAACCAATTCTCTCCAATCGATCAGCTCAGACGGAGAACTTTGACGGGAAAGTTCATGAAGCACTTCTCCTTCAATCTCACCACGACGACCCATGACGGGCTCATGAGTCGAAGTGATAGGAGGGTCCTGTAAAAGAAGAAGATCTCAGTTCTTTTGATATGATTTGAATGACAGTTTTTGGTTTGGATGAGAAAAACTTACAAAGTATTTTAAAAAGATTAAATGGAATAGATGATGAGAGATTGGAGAGTTAGAGTAAAGATAATGACGAGCTAGGGAAGAAGTTTGAGCCCATGAAGATATATCGATAGGATCAAGTTGAATTAAGATTCGATCGATGAGCTAAATCCAAAAGAAAGACAGAAGTTGATCAGTAGGAATGATGAATCCAAAAGAAATGAACCTGATTCTCCTACCTCAGATGGTAAAGATTCGAATAAAGGATTAGCAGACATTGAAGTAAAAGTAGATTGATAGGTTTCATTGACTTTTGGTGAATTCTTTCTTTCTTAATGATTAAGTAGTAGTCAACATTTAAAATTAAAATTAGAAAAATTCAAATTTGATTGGATTCGATCTTGAAGGTGGTGATCGATGGTGTAAATTGGTTGTACTGATCTGTTCTTATCTGATACACAATTCTTTCAAGTCATACAAATTCAACCCTGCCTCAAACATATATCCTCATATATCACTTCGAAGCCATATCCAATTCCACCCCCAATATCTGTTCTTAAAAAACCCATCCAAACAAGTCTTATACTCAAACTAAATTCAATCTCAACCATGTATCAAATAATACAAAGTGAATTGATCATATATAGAAAGTTTTGGTACTTCCTTCAATTTGCCCTCTCACTCTCTACTCACCCCTGAAAGCTTATTCATGTTATCAGACCAAAGAAAGTGAACCAACAAAAGGGGCTGCATCTATCTGCCTTGAAAAAGGAAAAGCTTGAAGTCACATTAATCCTTTCCGACTCTTCATCATACATACGTTATGGCGATCTACTGGTATATATGAATTTATGACTTTATAGATTGGCTTTAATTCAGACGAGTCTCTCATACAAACCTGTCTTGATTTATTTACCTTGATTTATTTACCTTGATTTATTTATCTTGATTTATTTATCTTATACACATTTATGGTGTTTTTACCTTGATTTATTTATCTTGATTTATTTATCTTGATTTATTTATCTTGATTTATTTATCTTATACACATTCTTTTGTTTTTGCACATTCAGGGTTTAAGCAAGATGAAATATGATCAGATCACCATACATAAATTCACATAAAACAATCTCTTGAAAGAATAAAAAGAGAATCTAAAGATGATCAAGACCTCAATATATAGTTCTGATCTTACATTATAGACTTTTGATATTCAACAACAAGTTCACAAGAAAACATTCATTTCATGTGCCCAACACCTCACTCAGTTGTCACATTTCTTATGTTGGGCTCATATTGTCTTGCTATGGGATCTTTCTGTATGATACAGCTACATTACAAAAGCACATGAGGGTCACATTAAATCTCATTTTTGTATTGTTTACTCAATCCCATACACCAACCCAAACCATTCTCAAAAGGGTTATTCTGCAGCGGTGAATGGTGAAAGTTACCTGCAGTGTAGAGGAATAAGAAAGTTGATCATCACAAGTTTGGAAATGTGAACCTTGATCTCAAGGTTCAAAACCCTCAGGCTCCCAACACAGCCCCACATGGTAAACTCACAGGGAAAATGCCATATAGTTGTGGGCACTGGGCAATGGGACTTATCCTGACTTGTCACAATCTATGCCAAATCAAATGATCTTTGGAAGCTACATGAACACAGTGTTGATTTATCCTTTGGCATCTGTCATCCAATTCAAAGATCAGCATTGTAATAAACTGACTTGACAAGGTGAGACCCATTTGATTACTTTTCAAATTCCACAGTTTACAGCTATTTCACAAATCAGTGTCATGGTCTCAACTTTCTTTTGTTTTTGTTATTAGGTTTGAGTTAATTGAGAACAAATTCAGTTTTGGTATCATGATCATACTGGCTTGGGAGAGACTTGTGAATCCAATCACTGTGCAACAAACTTCAGACCATAAATCTGGCAAACTTGGGCACCTGTGAGCTTGGGGGGTGGGGATTGTTCATCTTTTGATTTAAAAGTCAACTTATTGCCACTCTGGACCACATACAGTCATGAGCCTAAATTGCAAGTAACCATTTTTAAGCCCAATCTATGTATTTGGAACAATGAGTCCAGCTAAAATCATGTTTACCTTTTCTTTAGGCTTCTGAAATGTGAGTACAGCCATGCTAGTAAGGCACAAGCATAAAGGTGTTGGCCTTGCAATTACCCAAAGAAAGCCCCACATTGCTTTGGTCCAACACTAGCTTGGTAGCCCTGTCAGTGACCCAAAAATTGCACACTGGAAGGAACTCAACACTTGGACCTCTTACATCATCTGTGATCCTGCTGAACAAGGAACTGGGCTGAAATACCAGTTTTTCAGATCATGATTGGGATTACATTCTTAGTCTTGCTTACAAGGGACCCATACTCCACCTTAATAATAAAGTATCAGCTTGCCTTGTACTTCCACACAGGTAAAGTCTTGGGTCTGTCAGGTATTGCAATGGATCTCAAGCATCCACTCTCTCTTATGCTCAGAAAAACCCAAAATGTGCATCCAAAGCAGAGCCTGCCAAGCATGCAAAGATTTTCAACAGTGTTGGCAACTTTGATCCCAATACAATGTTGTTTCTAAGTATGTCCTGCTTTAATACTGACATAAGACTACCATCTTCTGGACTTACTTAGACAAATAATCAATCATGGAGTGCTAATTGAGATTGGTAATCTCAGCGCGTCTCTTCTTTCATGCGCTTATGGTTTTCTTTGATTACTTCATCTTTTGGTTATGTAAGATTGTAATGATGTCATCGTATTAGAGTTCTATAAGAGTAAATCGTTGTTCTTCATCTTAACTCTTTTTCTCTTATCGAACTTATATTTTACAATCTTCATTACTTCAGATTGTTCTTTTCTCTCGATCAGTGTGCAGCTTGTTTTACAAAGCTGACACCTTGAACAATCTTAGGTATTGTTCTTTTCTCTCGATCAGTGTGCAGCTTGTTTTACAAAGCTGACACCTTGAACAATCTTAGATTGATTGATTCATAGCTCAATTGTGCTCACTATACAGAAATTTTGCCTGTCAAGAATTTCACAAGGTTCAAATTCACACAAGGTATACAGAAGCCTGCTTGCACTGCCAGCATAGATGCCTCGGGTTGAGAAATCCGAGGCATCATCGGAGGCAAATCCTCGGACAAACCTTGTCCGAGGTTTTTGCCTGAGGTATTTTTTTGCCCTGAAAATTACCTCGGATCAAAACCTCGGGAATCTTCTGTCCGAGGTTTTGCATCCGAGGATACCTCGGATTACAAAATCCGAGGTAAATATGTTGGTGGTGTTGGCAGTATGCATTCCAGAGTCTCTCAGCATGGATATTGTGTTTACTCTCTCAGACTCACATTGAAAACTCACTTGAAATTTCAGCATACAAATCATCCAAACCATATGATCCAAATGGTAATATCCACAACATCTATCAATCTCGGATGTGGAAGGAATTTTGTGCCCCTGATGGAAATCAGTATACCAGTAGTAGTAATCATTTGTCCTTTGTGTTGTTTGTGGATGCAATAAATCCATTTGGTAACAAACAAAGTGACCATCACAATTTGATCACATTTGTAATCCTTGTGTGTCTTAGTCTTCCTCCTCATCTCCAACATCAACCAGAGAACATGCTTGTGGTAGGGATTGCACCTGGACCTTGCAAGCCATCACTCAAGCAAATGAATTGGATATTGCAACCACTGGTCACCAAACTTCAGGCCTTATGGACAACTAGGTTAATTCTATCACAGACTCATGGATATCAGAACGGTCATCTTATCAGAGCAGTGATACTGGTCTTTGTTGTAGATATCCCGTCTCTTTGTTGCTGTCTTGTATTTCCTAGTGCTACCGCAACATATTTCTGCTCATTCTGCCTCCTCAAGAAAAATGAAATCAACAACTTTGACAACAGCTCATGGCCACCTTGAACATGGTGTCAGCATCACAAATGGGCATGTGGCCCGTGATGCTAAGACATTCAAAGAACACAAGAAGATTTTCAAGACACATGGAGTAAGGTACTCAGTGCATATAGAATTAGATTACTGGAATATTATTGATTATCATGTTGTCGATTCAATGCATAATTTTCTACTTGGTCTAGCTTCCTGGCATGTTCAACACTTGTGGGCAATGAAAGATCTCTAAAACAACAAGGAGAAGCTGCCACCAATTATTACAATTGAGCTTCTGAAGCTTGTTGCTGAACATTCACAAC